AGGTAGATACTGACGATGACAATCAAAAAATGAAATTTTCCTCCCAAATTGAAGTTGAAAAGCCTTAGTATTCTCCATGCAATAAGGACACGACAACCTCCCATGTGTGCTCCATCCAGACAACATGCCATATCCTAGAAAATCACTTACAGTCCATAGTAGTGCAGCTTTCATAATAAAATTATGTTTTCTAAAGTTGTCATAAGTTTCAACCCCATTTATCCATAATTCATTAAGTTCATCAATTAATGGCCTAAGTAGCACATCAATATTTTTTCCTAGACTTTTAGGTCCAGCAATTATCATGGACAAAAATATATGCTCTGAATTCATGCACAATTCAGGTGGAAGGTTATAGACTGTAAGGAAAACAGGCCAACAAGAGTAAGTTGATCCAGAAGGGCCAAATGGATTGAAACCATCAGTGCACAACCCAAGTCTAACATTTCTAGGTTCTTCAACAAATGTTGGATAAGTTTTATCAAAGTGCTTCCATGCTTGACTACTTGCAGGGTGAATAACTTCATCAGAATCATCACTACATTTCAAATGCCATGTCATATGTTCCATCGTTTTCTTAGACATGTATAACCGCTGCAATCTAGGGGTAATTGGAAGATACCACAAAGATTTTCTCGGAATTGCTTTCTGCCTCACTGCAGCCATGTTCCTCGGCTCATAACGAGATTCTCCACACATCGGACAAGCATTTAAATTCTTGCTTTGCTCACCATAGTACAAGAAACAATCATTGATGCAAACATCAATTTTCTTGTATCCAAGTTCGAGCACATTTATCATTTTTTTAGCACTATAGAAATCTTTCAGCACCTTTTCTTGATCTTCTACACTTAACAATTCTCGACTCAATGCTAATGCCATCTCCCAATTAGCAGCACTCATATTATAAAGAGTCTTCATGTTTAACATTTTTGCTATCCATGAAAGAACAGTCACATTCTGTTCCCCATTACTTATATAAACTTCTGCAGCATGCAAAAGTTCATAAAATTTTCTTGCCTTATGATTTGGCTCCTCA